ATGAATCAGATTGATTTATAACAGCTTTATTGACATTGTGATCATGTGATCGCATGTGAATGCCGCCCACCCGCAGTACCAGTGAAGTGCTTTCACATGAGTCCCGGCCCTCAAGGAGCTTGTAATCTAATACCTCTGTCTGTTCAAATAACACTCTACTAGCAAACCTTGGAAGATTATGACTTAAAAATGATGACTTAAAAAAAGCTTCAGAAACATTTAATAGATCTAGCCTGTGTGTCTCGACCTTTTTTTCAGTCAAGGCACATTTTAAAATTATGAACAATCTTGAGGCACCCCATTCTAAAATGTGAAAAACTATTCTAATTCTTTAGTTTTATATAACGCAGCAACATGCACACACATAGGACACCCATCATTAGAGGTGATTTATTCTTCCAAAGCAAATACATCTTTGCACACTGCTGCTGACCAGTATTCCAATGTTTCTCTTCTCCCTCAGTTTTTTCTCCATCACTGAGCTGATGTGATCCCAGCACTGATATAAAGGGGCAAGGGAGGGTCAAACAAGGATGCTGCGAAGGCAGCTGACATCCTCCTTATCAACTGATGATGTCATTGGTTGTCAGGACTCCGGCAGCTAGCAGGTCATAATGGTACACAATGAAAATCATTTCTGATCTGTTCAAATAACACTTCTGTGGCTTTGTGTAACTAAAGGCAGGCTTGTTCCACCTGCTGGCTTGTATACAAGTTTTGGGCAATTTGTAGATATTTTGCCGAGGCACCCCTGGGGAAACCTCAAGGCACCCCAGACTGCCTAGGCACCCTGGTTGAGAATGTCTGATCTAGGCAATGATAGATTAATATCAGTCCTGAAGAAGCTGAGCTTTCAGGCCAAAAAGCTTGAACATATTTACAAATTGTTAACAATAAATCTTCCAAAGTATAATGAAGTGTAAGCAAAGTACAGGCATACCTTGGTGATTATGAATTTAATTCGTTCTGCAGGCCAAAAAACTTTTCGTATTGCGAAAAATTCATAATACCGAAACGCGGTTTCCCATAGGAATGCATTGAAAACCAATTAATCCGTTCCGGAGGTCAGAAAAAAGTAAAAAAAAAAGTATTTTATATGTTCAAAATTCTTTATAAAGTGCACTTAAAAGGCATAAATACTGTACAGTGACAAGATTAAACATTAATTCTTAAATGCATTGAAAACCAATTAATCCATTCCGGAGGTCAGAAAAAAGTCCAAAAAAGTTTTATCTGTTCAAAACACGTTGTAAAGTGCACTTTAAAGACATAAATACTGTACAGGGACATGATTTAAAAAAAAAATTGTAAATGCATTGAAAACCAATTAATCCATTCCGGAGGTAAGAAAAAAGTAAAAAGAAGTCTTATCTGTTCAAAACTCTTTATAACGTGCACTTTAAAGGCATAGTACTGTACAGGGACATGATTAAAAAAAATTTTGTAAATGCATTGAAAATCAATTAATCCGTTTATATTGCAAAAAAAAATTGTAAACCGAGGCATTATTTTTAATGAGTTTTCATTCGTAAACGAAAATTATGTGAACCGAGGCGTTCGTAAACTGAGGTACACCTGTAATCACTTTATAACACCTGAAATTGTAAAACAAAATTAAGCATAGGCACCACACATGCTCAGATTCCTTCCAGAGCACCTCATTAGTCCCCAAAACCTGGAATACTTTATTATGCAATTAGTGACTTCATCTAAGAAGTCAGAACTTTGTTCCACTCCCTTCTGCTTTCCACGTCTTTCTATTGATCTGATGGGCAACCTTGAAGACTAATAGGGGTTGATTTAAAGGCAAGCACTGTAGACTGTTTACTTTGCAAGCAAAGTTGCAGTCTGCATAGGAACTTTCCCCAGAGCTTCGTGATTGGGGTGAAGATCTGCTGACTTCCATCAAGCCGTGTTTGGTGTGCCATTCAGGATGAATGGTACCCAAGTGCATGTCGCACATTTTGCCGTGATATGGAACGGGACCTAACAAAAAATTGAAAGCTTGTGAGTTTTCATTGGTGGCCATTCAAAAAAATTAATAATGAAAAGCAGAGTATGGGTGTGCTTACACATGCAGTGCTCTCTAAAGAGTAACGTGTTCAGACCACTCTTCAGGGGGAATTTGGCAGTGAGGAGGCATTTTATTGCCTTCTTACCGCTTGCTTTAACACCTTAAACCCTGTATCAATGTACCACAACCGTGTGCACTGCACATATTTGCAGGGCAGTTGCAGGGTGCCCCCAATCAGTTGAATGTGTCAAGTTTGGATGGTGGTACTGCCCACCGATCATGACACCACGGATAATGTTTGCTGCACTGTGATGCAAATCCGCATAACAGCATGTTTTCACTGTTCCCAAACCACAAGTGCAGATGGCCTAAAAGTCTCATAGTTTTATTTCTTGCATTTAGTAAAAGTTCTTTGCATAGCTACTCTGTTTTTACTGTTTTTTTTTATTATAAGCCATTGCAATGTATGTACAGCTATACATTTTGAAAAATGTTCACCAACAAAACTGGACATAAAATATAAAATTACAAAATCATGTGCTACCTGAACTGCAATAAGAACAGCTGTCCTGGCGATTACAGACGAGTTTGTGATGAGCCTTGAGAAGAAAGGTGAATTGTTGGTGAACATCTATGTACCTTTATGTATAGGAAAAGCAAGGACTAAACTAGCTCCACCTTGTGGATTTATCAAGGAAGACAGCTTTTTAGCTTTAAAAAAGTGTTTCCACAACATAAAAGGCTGTAAAATGGAACATGGAAGTCCATTTCTCCTACATTTCACAAAATGTTTGCCCAAGATTAACAATGAGTTATTAAATATAATTTTGGATATTAGGAATATGGAACATCTCACAGCCAAATTGAAAATCCTCAACAACCTAACAATGTATAGGCCCGTGGGATCAATTCACTTTTGGCAAACCTCTTTCTCTTGCCCATGTTTCTTAAAGCGACACTTCACCCAAAAGAGGACATTCACTCTTCCTCCTCCTCCCCCTTCCTCTGTGATATTTGGAGTGTGTTTTTGGGGTTGGAAACAAGTAGCCGATTTTGACAGGTTCCTGCTCCCACTTCTTCCTAGGCCACAGGTGTCAAACTGGCGGCCCTTCAGCTGTTGCCAAACCACAAGTCCCATGATGCATTGCAAGATTGAAAGTTACAACATGACTCCCCAAGGCAGAGGCATGATGGGACTTGTAGTTTGGCAACAGCTGGAGGGCCGCCAGTTTGACATCCCTAGCCTAGGCGATTTGAGCTGAAGTTCTCCTTACCCCCTCCCTGCCCACAGTCTTCTGGGATTTGTCACAGGTCTCAGATGGCTCCGGGACCATTTACAAAGCATAGCTCAGCTGTTGAATGCACAGTGGGCAGCTGGTTGTGAAGCCGTAAGGAGCCACAGCTGGATGTCCACAGTTAACATGCCGGCGCTGGGTCCTGGAGACCAGTGAAGAACCAGCTTGAGTGAGAGCGGTGCTGGATCCCTGGACAGGGTAGTGTCTGTTTATTAAAAGTCAGCAGCTGCAGTTTTGGTAGCTGTTACCTTTTCATTTTTTTCCAAACTGACTGAAGAACCCCTTTAACCATTCTTGGACCTTGCCCAACCAATGGAAAATATATTCCTTTATGTTTACCACTGATCTGTATACAAATTGACCCTTTCTGGATGCACCCCTACCCCTTCACTTAACATACATAATGAATCTTGGTTTGGTTTTTGTTGATCCAGTATAGAATTGTTAAGTTTCTGTATATTTTAATGTAGATTTGTAAACCGATTCTGCTTTTTTCATGTTATTGTCTTTGAAAACCCACATAAAAATACAATTATAAAAAAACACTGTTGGCAGGTAGAGACTCTGAATGTTTCTTCTGCTATGAGAGTGCCTGCCTTACCAACCAGCAATATTTCATTCTGAATGTAAACTGAGCCACACATGCCAAGATGAAATAGTCCATTCAGATGTCCAACCTGCTAAAAATGCATAAACATGATTTTTAATTCTGTGATAATAAACTAAACACATGCTTTTTAATTGACATCGCCCCTTCTATTTCTGTACATGGATAATGGTACTGTAATTACTTTAAAAAAAAAAAATCTAAGTACCTTTTACTAATTGATATACAGCTGTCACATGACCCAGCTCTTTCCCAGCCTGTCTGCAGGGAAACAGTGGCAGGAAGAGCTTCTAATTCTCTGTTGGTCACATGTATAAAATAAAAAAAAAACAGCCTTTGGGATACAGAGTAAAAATAAATAATTCATATCAATAAACTGTTTTAAATTGGCATACAAATATACACTATATTGCCAAAAGTATTGGGACACCTGCCTTTTCACCCACATCAACTTAGCACTAATGGCATCCCAGTCTTAGTCTGTAGGGTTCAATATTGAGTTGGCCCACCCTTTGCAGCTATAACAGCTTCAACTCTTCTGGGAAGGCTGTCCACAAGGTTTAGGAGTGTGTTTGTGGGAATGTTTGACCATTCTTTCAGAAGTGCTTTTTTGTGAGGTCAGGCACTGATGTCGGATGAGAAGACTTGGCTCACAGTCTCCGCTCTAATTCATCCCAAAGGTGTTCTCTCGGGTTGAGGTCAGGATTCTGTGCAGGCCAGTCAAGTTCCTCCACCCCAAACCCACTTATCCATGTCTTTATGGACCTTGGTTTGTGCACTTGTCCACAGTGATGTTGGAACAGGAAGGGGCCATCCACAAACTGTTCCCACAAAGCTGGGAAAATGAAATTGTTCAAAATGTCTTGGTATGCTGACGCCTTAAGAGTTCCCTTCACTGAAACTAAGGGGCCAAGCCCAACCCCTGAAAAACAACCCCACACAATAGTCCCCCCTCCACCAAACTTTATATTCGGCACAATGCAGTCAAGCAAGTACCGTTCTCCTGTCCAAATCCAGACACGTCCATCAGATTGCCAGACAGAGAAGCGTGATTCGTCACTCCAGAGAACACGTCTCCAATGCTCTAGAGTCCAGTGGCAGTGTTCTTTACACCACTGCATCCGACGCTTTGCATTGTACTTGGTGATGTAAGGATTTGATGCAGCTGCTCGGCCATGGAAACCCATACCTTGAAGCTCTCTACACACTGTTGTGCTAATCTAATCTGTTGTGCACAAAGTTTGGAGGTCTTTAGCTATTGACTCTGCAGACACTTGGCAACTTCTGCGCACTGTGCACTTCAGCATGCGCTCTCCCCGCTCTTTCATTTTACGTGGCCTACTACTTTGTGGTTGAGTTGCTGTTGTTCTCAGTTGCTTCCACTTTGTTATAATACCACTAACAGCTGACCGTGGAATATTTACTGGCAAGGAAATTTCACAGATGAACTTATTACACAGGTGGCAACTTATCACGGGTACCACGCTTGAATTCACTGAGCTCCTGAGAGTAACCCATTCTTTCACAAATGTTTGTAGAAGCAGTCTGCATGCCTAGGTGCTTGATTTTATACACCTGTGGCCATGGATCTGATTGGAACACCTGAATTCAATGATTTGGAAGGGTGTCTCAATACTTTTTGGCAATATAGTGTATATATGAAATCAAATCTTTATTATTTTTTTGGCAATAACATGGTGTGTGTGGATTTCTACAAGTCACTGGCTGTGTCATGCCCCTTCAGTCTGTCTTAGAATAACAGGGAGGTGAAGCCTCCATTAATCTACATGTAGTATCCCACCCCCATTGTGTTTAGCTGGTTAGTGGGCATGGAGGAGGAGGGAGGGAGTGGGTTTATACTACTATGTGTAACATGGGCTGCTCAGCATAGAAACTCACTAAAAACTGAGCATATGCAGAGCTGCCAACACTGCTCTGCAAAATCCCTAGCAGCATTGGGGACATGGGCAGAAAAGGGCAAACAGCAGGATCAACCAAGTTTCTAGCAGAATACAGAAAACAAATCCCATAGTGACTGAGTGAGTATGAACAGCGTGTAATACAGCATTTATTTATAGGTTTTTTTTTATGATGTGGGTTTAGTTTCCTCTTAAAGTGGAATCTAAAACCATGCTGTGAATGATAACTGACATAATTGCTTGTGTTCTCACCCAAATTGTCCGCACCATGGCAACTTCAGATCAAACAGAGGCTAAGATAGCAGCTTCCTTGGCTGTAAAGGATAGGAGGGTTTAGTTCCGCTTTAAGATCTTAAAGCGGAACTTTGCCCAAAAGGGAAAGTTCTGCATTTCCCCCCCCCCCCCCCCATATCACTTTTGAATACTTTTTTTTTTTTGAGGGGAGTGGGTGTCTGGATTTGACAAATACCTGATCCCACTTCTGGCTCGGATCACCTATGCAAAAGGAAGTTATCCCCCACGTTGCCCTCAGTCTTTTGGGACACATCACAGGTACCAGAAGGCTGTAGGACCATTCACAAAGTGTAGTGCAGCTCGGTCACTGGCTGTGAAGTCACATCTGGCTTCCCTTAGTAAACATATCAGCTCCGGGGATCCAAAGACTGGCAAAAGCCCAAGTGAGGGCGACACTGGATCCATGAACAGGTATGTGTCCTTTTATTTATTAAGTCAGAAGCTACAGTTTTTTCATACAGCCTGAAGATTCTCTTTAACAAATTATCCCAATATTCAGGGAGTTTCTAGGGAATTGAAGACTACAGCAGATAACCTTAGGAGACTTCTGTCAGAGGGAAACATTTGCTGTCAGGTTGCAAACTTTTCTCTATTAGCTCACTGTACTCTGTTCACAGAAAATAAATATGAATGATAAAGAAATTCATCATCACTAATAGCAAATATTTGTAGAGATATTTGTGGGAAATTAGTGTTCATTCATATATGAGGAGTTGAAAGTGTGTAGGAACCACATCTGCTTCACTAGGAAGCCTTCCCCTTTGGGTGTGGACTGGCCAAGCTGCATTCTGCTCCTTGTGGCAGATGTCTGCATCTTTGGGTCTTCAGGCCATTGTTATATCGCTGCTATAGTCTGTAAGTGGCCCTGGACGTGTGTGCCTCTCCGCCAGGCCTGTTTGCACTTTTTGAACTTTTCTACAATATACTGTTTTTGACAAATTCAGGCTCTGTATGATTACTGCCCACCGTGTCATGCTGCACCTAGCTCACAGAGGTAGATGAAAATCACCAGCTACCATCTTGTAAGTGCTATTAAATAAAGGCCAGGATGGAGATCTGTAATATTTACGCAGACCATATATGAATGGATAGGGTTTTTTTTCTGTTATAGGATAATTTTTATTCCTCATTGTCATATTAGGTACTAACTTGTGTAGTAAGTGGTGCAAAGTACCATCAATGCACCTAGTCCTATAACCCATTTGATTCCATTGCTTTGAGCAAAGGCTTTATGAGTAGGCTGAAGATAGCCTAGGCTTTACCAGTAACCGGAGTTATATGAAGGGTTCAGTGGAAAGCAATGTAAAGAGGGAGGTAACCTGATTCTATTCCATTCTTCACAGCACAATATATTATTTCAGCAGCTGCTACCAGAAAAGTTTAAAGAGAGGGAAAGACCAAATTAACTCATTAATGGCCAGTTTGGTCTATCTGGCCAATTTCACTTTTTAAGGACTCTATTTATTGTGATTTTATTTCATATAAAAATACAAAGAGTTTACTGCACATCATCAGGGACTGTAGGTATGACAACAAACATACTGACTTTGACATTATTTTAACTGCTTCCCCGCGCCGCCCTATAGTAGATATACTGCTACACGGTGGCAGAGGTGCACAACATTATGTGTTTATATATGTGATTTTGCATTCCCGGGTCTGCGTCTGTCAATCATCAGGTCCCAGCCGGTTATTACCCACTGGCACCCAGTGATTACCGAGCATCTCCAAGGGGAAGGAGGACTGCTTTGCTTACTAACAGTCCTCCTCCCTGTCGGCTTGGGCACACTGCTTACAGTGAAGCACCAACACACCGCCCCCCCCAGTAAAACACTCCCAGAACACAGTTAACCCTTTGATCTCCCCTCATGTTAACCCCTTCCTGCCCAGTGCCATTAGTACAATGTCAGTGCTTTTTTTAGCACTGATCATTGTATTGGGGATGTCAGTGACACTAAGTCTGTCCCCCCCAGTGCCAAAATGCCCACCGCAGTCCCACTATAAGTCACTGATCACCGCCATTATTAGTAAAAAAAAAAAAAATTTCCAGTATCTATACCGCCATTGTAAACGCTATAACTTTCACGTAAACCAATTAAATTACACGTATTGGGATTTTTTTAGCAAAGACATGTAGCAGAATACATTTTGGCCTAAATTTATGACAACATTTATGATGGTCTTTTGTTTTTATAGCGCAAAAAATAAAAACCGCAAAGGCGATCAAATACCATCAAATTTGTGGGAAAAAAGGATGTAAATTTCATTTGGGTGCAGCATTGCATGATTGTGCAATTGTCTGTTAAAGTAACAGAGTGTCGTAACGCCAAAAAATGGCCTGGTCAGGAAGGGGGGTAAATCCTCTGGAGGGCAAGTGGTTAATGAACGTTACAAATATAAAAACAAACATGAATGTTTATACTGTTTCTGAGGTTTTTAAACAAGTGAATAGTTCTTTAATAAGATGAAATATATATTGTTGATGCTTTAACACATTTTTTTTTCGCATTCAAATATTTTATTAAATCAAATGGCACAATAGTTATCACATGTAACATAACAGCTAACGTAAATAAACAATGCTTCCATGCATGGAGAGGTACATTATCAAGTGCCATTAACATGTCAAAACAAAAAGTTCAACAGGGCTATTTGAGGATCGGGGGAAATGGACTTGTCAAATAATGAAGACCGGATGGAAAAATTGTCTCCCCAATAGGACTGTACAATGGGGCAGGACCACCATGTATGTAGATATGTGCCCAGCTGCCCGCAAGCCCAAAAACAGGTGGATGGATAGCCCAGGACATATTTAGCTAACTTAGGCTCTAGATTCCAGCGGGATAGGACTTTATAAGATGTCTCTGAAGCAACAACATTTGGAGAAACATTATGTGTTGTCTGCCAAATTTCCAACTTTCCTCTGGGGAAAGGTCTTGGCCTAGATCTGTAGTCCATTTATCAAAATAGGCTGGCATACAATTTAGAAATTACACCCTTAGCGAGTTGATCAGATGCACAAAAGTGTTCATATATAGACATCACGCTGAGGTCTGTGGTAGACAAAAGTGTAGCTGCATAAAAGTGTTTAATTTGTAGGTACCTAAAGATTTCCGAACTGGGGCATTTATATTGCTCTTGTAGGGTTGGGAATGATTTAAAACCATTGGAAAACATCAGGTGGTGTAGTCGAGTGAGGCATAAGCGTGTCTAATGGTGAAATGAAATCAGGGAAGTGGCTGCAGGATAGAAGGCTGGATTGTGGAAGAAAGATAGTAAGGGTTGGTGTGGGGAAATAAGTGTTACCTTAAATTTTACTCTGTCCCAAATACATAAGGCGTGTTGAGTGAGTGAGAGGAATGCATGGTCTCGCTCTGGTGCGGTAAGCCAAAGTAAATTTTCTAGAGTGAGGGTCAGCGCCCAGAGCTTAAAGTCCCACCCACAGGGGGACCTCCTGATTAGCATGATATTTGATGAGGGGAGCCAGTTGGGCCACCTGATAATATTTGAAAAGTGCGGAATACCCATGCCCCCAATCTGTTTAGAGCATAAAAGTAAGGACCCTGAGAGGCGTGGCCAAGTGGTTCCCCAAATAAATTGGGTAACTCTGCACTGTAATATACGGAATAAATGCACGGAGAACGTGATCGGCAATATCCAAAAAAGATATAGCATTTTTGGAAGCAGGGTCCTCTTAACCACTGTTATCTTACCAAGTCAGGATATTGGGAGAGTAGACCATTTAGACCATAAGTGTGTTAAATGAGCTAGCATTGGAGGGTAGTTCACTTTATACAAAGAGTCTGGATGGCTGGTCAGGTGCAAACCTAGGTATTTCAAAGAATGGGATACATTCTTACGCTGATAACATAATATTTAAGGCCCTCAACTTATTCCTGTTAACTTTCAGGCCAGAGATCTGGGCAAAAGAGTCCAGGAGAGAAAGCAAATTCACAGTTGAGACAAGGGTCAACATAACAAAAAGTAGAACGTCATCTTCAAACATGAAGAATTTATGGGCAGTGCCAGCTACCTATATCACTGTGAAGTTCTGATTGGGGCTCGATAGCCAGTGTGAAAAGGAGGAGTGAGGACAAGGGGCAATCCTGTCTCATCCCTCTCACTATGGGCAGAACTAAGGAGCTATATCCCACTTACCGAAGGCCATCCCTGAGGTTTTCACATATTGCAAATATCCACCATAAAAAGTTTGGGTCAAAGCCCCAGCAAAGTAAAGATGTAACATAAATACGGCCGGGATACAGAACCGAATGCCTTACATATATCTATATATATTTACGTGTATCTATAGATAGAAGATGGGTGAATTGTATGCAA